ATATGGTGATGGTGATGATGATGATGACGACGGTGGTAGTGATGCTGAAGATGGTGATGGTGATGATGAAGGTGGTGGTGATGAAGATGACGGTGATGGTGGTGGTGATGGTGATGAGGATGGTGATGGCAGCATCAGTGCTATCAAGCCTTTCCCACCTAGGGGTCAGGGGTCATAAGAGACACCTCAATGGGTGATTCCACTCCATCCCCACTCTATTGCCCTTTGTCCTTTCCTTGTGCCCCAGCACATGGGCTCCCTTCATCCAGGGTCTAGGAGACTCATGGGGGAGAGGGCTTGCTGTCTATCTCAGGGGCTGCTCTCCATCCCCCAGGGTCCTCTCTGGTTCCCCAGAAATGGAGTCAAGTCAGATAAGTGACGGCTGGCGCTACAGACTTCTCTCTTCTAGTTCATCACCCCACGCCTGGTTGGCTGAGGCCCAGAGAGGGGCAGCCAATCACCGGGCATCCCACAGCAGCACCCTGAGCCCAGAGTCCCCCGGAGACCTACATACAACTCTGTCTCCTCAGGTGGATGCCCAGCTGGGTCTGCAAAGCGGGGCCAAGGAAGGATGCCTGCCTTGACTTGAGGAGGCTGTGGGAAGGTATAGGAGGGGCAGTCTCCAGGGGGCGCCTGGACTGCTCACAAAGTGCATCCCCTGCATCTGGGCTGAGATCGACCCAGGCCACAGGGGAACTGAGGGTGAACACAGGACAACGGGCCCCCTGGCCACGTCCATCCCACCCTGGGCGGAATGATGGGAACTGGGATAAGGAGGCCTCTGATTCCTACTGCCTCCACCGGAGAGAGCAAATTCCAGGCTCCTCCTTCATCAAGGGGGATCTGGGACCAGCTAAGAAACTGAGGCCCGCACCCTTCCTCAGCTCTCTCCTCTGGGGCACCTTTTGAAATGAGTCGAGGACTGACCATGTGAGCACCCCATCTCTGTCCCTGTCCCATCTCACCCTCCCCTCCCCACACAGAGAGCTCACCAACCGCCTTTCCATTCAACGTGTGGGGGCCACGTGGGCACCCCCCCAACCCCCCCTCTTGGAATCCTTCTAGAAATGGGCATCTCAGACAGACGGGGTGGGGGAGGAGAAAGGGGGTAAGGAGGGTGTGGGACAAGCTCTCCAATCAGCCAAGGAACCCTCACCCCTGAACACCTCTGGGCTCCCTGGGCTGTGGGAGGAGATCCAGTCTCCCAACCCCAGGGTTTGGGTTTGTTGTTTTTTTTTGTGATGGTTGATTTAGAAGAGAGGTGAGGGGGAGGAGGGTTTCCTTCCTCGCTAACCCCACCCCTACCCAAGGTCCCAGCTGGAGGGTCTGGTGGAAGTGACAGGCCTGGACTCCATCCGACCAGACTCCCTACGACCTGCCCAGATCCATCATTCAATCACTGGCTCACTTTTCATTCATTCATTCATTCATCCAACATGAGTCTGAGTTTCCTGTGTAAGCCACACTGAGGAGGAAGGGGGCCCCATTGGAGACTGAAGCAGGCTCCTGGACCTTCTGGAAGACCAGTCCCTGGCCGGCGGAGGTGGGGGTGGGGGGGTCCCCACCCCTGACTACAACATTTAAGGCGAACTGTCAAGACCAGCTCAGGTTCAGACACAAGCCCAAGCCAAAGGTTCAGGCCAGCCCTCAGAGAGGTCACCAGGTGGAGAATCTGGTGGGAGGGAGGCAGGCAAGGCCTCCCCAGCCCACCTGCCGGCTCTGATGGGCCTGAGGCCACCCACACCTCCCTCCTCCTTCCTGGCCACCCAGTCAGATGGCCTCCATTCTCATTGTCTTTGGCCCCAGACCCCAAACACAGGACTACTGGCCTCGTCCAGTTTTAACTTGAGCCAAAGGTGGCTGCCCAGCAAGGGGGTGGGGAGGCGGGCGCGGCAAGGAAAGGGGGAGGGGAGGTGCTGTCCACACAGCAAGGATGGGCTAGGAGATGGGCACAGCGGCACATTTGACTCACCCAGACCTGGCGCTCCCCACCCCACCCCCCTCCAGCTCCCAGTGCCCCCACCTCTTCTTTCTTTGTAGTTACCGATCAGCCCGGGGTCCTGGGCCTCCGTGTCCCTGCCCCGCCGGCCTGGCTTTGTAAAAATGACCCAGCAATGGAGTGCGAGGTGCAAACTTC